ATTATGGATTACAAAAAATTTGATCATGGATTACAAAAAATTCAATCATGGATTACAAAAAATTCGATCATGGATTACAAAAAAAAAAATTCTTCACAGAGCCACCTTACATCAGCCATTTTAACTCAAAAATCCACCTCCAAGCAAATAAATTACATCCAATTGAGTACATTTTTTGATAAACAACAATATAAGGAATCAAAACCCTAAATTATGAACACATTATCATCAATAAATCAAATCAAATCTGTAACAATCCTAAAATTTCAAAAAGAAAAGAAAAAAAAAAGAGAAAAGATGCTTTTAAATAGGTGATGGTCTGTTTGAGTATGATGGTCCTTGGGAACCATCACTATTTTTAAAAGTTTTTGCCTTTGCCTTTGCCTTTGCCTTTGCTTTTGCTTTTGCTGCCTGCTTCTTGCTGCCTGCTGCTCGCCACGTCCTTTAGCGGACGTGGTTTTCGTATGTTAAAAGCAGACGCTTAACGCGACACCTCAGGTATGAGATAGAGCGTAATAAAATATTATAATAATATGTTATAAGAATTTAAATAGGGGAGGTGAGCACTCCCACTCTAGAAAATTTTAAGATCTCTCTCTCTCTGTGGTCGAAACACCGTGAACTTCTCTCTTGAACCGAATTTTTTTATCGAAAGGTCCCTCTCAAATAATTGTGGGTAAGTGACATCGTCTTCCTGAAAAATAGTCTATTTCTAATAAATAGTGATATTTTCGTCTAGGATCTTCATTTTATCAGTTTTATGTGTAAGTGACCTCATTGTCTCGAAAAATAATCCATTCTTTTAAAAAAATAAAATGAAATAATTATTTCTGTTTATTATCATGAATTTTAGGCGCGATAAATTTTATGCGCACGTGACCTCATTATCTTGAAAAATAATCGTTTTGATAAAAAATGTGATATTTTATCTATGTTAGAAATTTTGAATGCTGTAAATTAGAAAAATAAATTTATTTATTTTTCTTGTTTATTGTTAGAAATAAATGTGATATTTCTGCTTTTAGTAAAATTGTGATATTTCTTTCTACTATTTTGAATATTTAGACATTGTAAAATTCATGTGCAAATGACTGCCTTATTATTTAAAAAAATTGACATTTTTGCAATTGATTATAGTATTGTTGTGAAATGTTTATTTGTGGATTGATATCCCATAAATTGTGATAATTCCGTATTCTTGAATTTTTATAAGAGTTTTTCTATACATATTAAATTGGCAATTATGCTAGAATGCCTTTACAAACTGCTACCTTTCTAAATTTGAGCCCAAAATATTTGATTGGTTATTTTTGAAATGTTATATACAGTGATTGTTATTAATGGTTTAAGTGAAATTCTTATTAATGATTTTAGTGATATGTTGAGTACATGATATTGCTGCTTTCGAATGTTTAAAGAGATTTAGAAATAATTTAAGTATGCAAGTGGACTCATCCGGTTCGCCGGTGAGGTATAAGTTGACCTATCTGGGACGCC